GCCCCCCCCCCCCCCAGGCTGTGTGACCCCCTCAGCTTCCTGTGGGGCAGCTCCTCTCCAGGCTTCTCCTATCGGCCTCGCGGGTGCCCCCTGGTGGTCGGGCAGGTTCACTGCTCAGCCTTGTGACCTGCTGGGGAAGGTCTGGCCACACAGAGGAGCCCAGGGCTGATCCCAGCAGTGAATCCACAGCCTCCTGGGCTGCTTCCCTGGCTCCTCCCCCCACAGGGCTCCCCGGCCCCTTCCAGGTCTTGGGCTCCCTTGTGAGGATCCCTGAGAGGAAGAGGGAAGCTGGGACTCCACTGACTCTGCAGCCTTCTTCCCGGGACCACAGAGAGCAGAGGCCTGGACCTCACCCTGAGGCCACAGTCCCCGCCATGAGGTGAAGGTTCGCCCCTGAGAGCTCTGGCTGCGGGATCCCTGGCAGACGGGGCGGGAGAGAAGGCAGACGGGGAAGATCACATGGGTTCACCCAGCCCCACTCCCCGAGGGTTACACGTCCCCTTTCCCACCCTGGAGCCAGGGCCCGAGGCCGCCTGGTGACCCTGTGCCCATGGGGGTGGCAGCTGCCGGGGTCCAGGTGACAGCCCCCTCCCAGGCCCGGGAACAGCGGGCGACCTGGGTGCGGGGTCAGCAGGGCCAGGTCACTCGGCTGCTTATGTGACAGCCCGGAGCGTGACCTTTATCGGTGGTGCCTGTGCTGACTCAGCGCACGTATGTGGACGCACAGACAGTGTGCCCTGTGCCGAGGCCACCGCTACACACAACACTTTTTTCTGGCAATTTGATGCAACAAATTGTTTTTATTCGTCCTACGGAAACTCAGTCATAGACACAAATTTCATGAATTTTTAAAGGGAAAAAACAGCCGAAACCAGTTTGGCTCAGTGGATAGAGAGTCAGCCTGCGGACTGAAGGGTCCCAGGTTCGATTTTGGTCAAGGGCATGTACCTGGGTTGCGGGCACATCCCCAGTAGGGGGTGTGCAGGAGGCAGCTGATCGATGTTTCTCTTTCATCGATGTTTCTAACTCTCTATCTCTCTCCCTTCCTCTCTGTAAGAAATCAATA